GGGGGGGTGTTAAAGAGGGGAGGAAACCAAACCGTGAGGAGCAGCGGGTGGTGGCCAGGTGCTGAAACAGAGGCTGCTACAAAGGAGTGTTCCCTCTAAGCTGTGGAGTCTCGTGAGCAAAAATCCTACTTTGTGAGCTCCTGGCATTCAAGTTGTGAGCGAGCGATGTGGCTGCGGCATAAATTAGTTAGCTCTGGAGCCATCCCTTCCTGAGCCGAGACAAAAGTGTGTGAGCCGGAGACTAAAAAACCGTGAGCTGGCTCACACTAACTCAGCTTAGAGGGAACACTGGCCCCCACCCTCCCGTGGAACGGCAGAGCCCGCTCTGCCGCTGACCTCCTCTTGCATCCGGAGAAGAGTCGGAACACAGTAAGGCAGGAAAAAGGGGTGCCTGGAGGCAGGGTTACTTGGTACATCTTACACAGGCAGGCAAGGAAGAGGACGCTGCATGCGCCTCCCCTGCCGCTTCTGTCTCTGTCTCCCTTCTTGGGGGTTCAGCAAAGCAAGGGAACCACCTCAGTGGCCCATTCTGAGGCCGGCTCTGCTTTGGAGACCACCGGCTGCCAACCCAAGGGAAGTGAAGGGGGTCCCGTATTGCAGATGGCCGCTGGCAAGTCAGGCACTTCCGCGATGCCCTGGATCGAGCATCTGCCGGGGTGGGGGGTATGCGTAGCCAAGAGGATGCAGGGGCACAGGCAGCTCCTGGCCACTGGGAGGAGAGGGGCCTGGGCGCGATGGGAGAGCCTCTGCTTGGCACGCGGGAGGTCCCAGGTTCAATCCCCGGCATCGCCAGTTTGAAAAGTAGCAGGAGACATGGAAGACCCCTGCCCGAGACCCTGGAGGACACCAGGTAGGCAGAGCAGACAAGACTGACCTTGAGGGACTGGCGGCCCGATTCAATCCAGGAAGTGACTGGTACCCCCGCCAGCCCAGGGAGTATACGTCGCTTGTTAGGAGCAACAAACTACCTCCTTCCTGGGCCCAGAGGTGCCTTCAAGCCCCCCCGCCCACAATCAGCAACCATCTCAGGACTTGAAGATTCACAAGCATTTTAGAGCACGGTTCGCTCTGCTTCTGCATCTCCTGGGATGTTTCCCCCACCCTCAACCACACAAGCCAGGTTTTGTCTGCCTTCGAACTGGTGCTGCTAAAGAAGAGGTCAGTCGGTTAGGAACTGCAGTAGTGAGTGGACAAGTCAGGCGGACTCCCGGTTAGTCGTGGGCATGCGGCCCGAGCAACCACAGCCCAGGCAGACCACCTCTCTGTGCATGCTGGGTGAGTGTGTGGGGGGGGGGGGGGGGGGGGACTCGAGGGGCGGCTGTGCCACAGCACACAGCAGGCTCCGAGGGCAGCTGGCCTGCCGAGCAGCCGCCACGCCAGACCTTTCGGCAAAGCCTTCTGGTTGGTCCCTTGGGAATGCCAGAAAAGGAGCAGCGTTGGTGCTTGAGGGGTCCACGGGGCCGAATGGAAGCCCTGCTCTTCCCTGCCCCCCCCCCCAGCCACACCCAACCTCTGCTGCAGCCGGCCTCTTTGTGCGGAACTCACAGAAGTGCAGAAAAGCCGGCTCTCTCTCGAGAATAACTTAAAAAAAAAAAAAAACAGCAAGACTTCAGCCTCTTATGTGTGTGATGACACTTTGGGGGATGTTATGTTGGGAACACCCAATGAAGGCTCATAAGCTTGGGGGGGGGGCATGGAGAACACTGAGGGGAGGGGCCCCCCAAGCCTCTCTTCCCTTCCACGGTTGAGTAGAAACTGTCCAGCAAAGTGAGAGAAGCCAGCCGCAGGTGTGTTGTTTCTGCACAACTGCACGTTTTCAGTGCCGCGTGACCTTCCCTTTCCACAGAACGGAGATTCCAGAAGTCCGTGCACAGAGCTGTGAGTTTAAGGTTACACACACCCCCATGCTATTTTCTTGACACTGACACACACCCCCGCATGCCCAAACCAAACGCACACACTGCACACGCACACACACGATCCTAACACGTTTCAGAGGCCAGGAACTCCACACGCGGTGACAAACAAACAGTGAACAATCACGGGTTTCGGAGAACGAAATAACCCTGACTTTTTTGGGGGGGTGGGGGGAAACTAAATGGTTAGTTTGTCAGAAGGCAGCCAGCATGCTCCGGTCAAAGCCGCTTTCCCCCTTGGCCAAGTTAAGAGTTGTTTTAGTGTCGGGCTGGTGGACCTCGCGGGCTAGTGGGAGGGGCGGATACCTGGGCCGGCTTAGTTATCCGGCTGAATGTACATCTGGCGCTGGGTCAACACCTGGGAGAGTTCTCTCTGCAACTGCTTATACTTTTGGTTGTCGGGAATAGCATCAATAGATCTAAAGAGAGCAGGTGTGGAAACGGAAAAGGGGGGTGGGGAGGAAGCAGAGGAGGAGAAAGAACAGGTCAGAGAAGCCCAGCACGAGAGGAACCAGAGGAAACCGCTGGGAGGCACCCAGAGGAAGCCAGAGAAGGAACAGCAGGCAGAGAAAGTCCGGGGGGGGGGAAGCAGACCCCCCCCCCCCAGGTTTGGAGAAGCAACGCGTGACAGCCCCGCTGAACAGGAGGTGCGTTGCCAAGACGTCCCCCCTCCCAACTCAGAAACAGAATAAGAAAACAAAAGTTTGTGGGATGTGGGTAGCAGGCTACCCTCTGTGCCACGGAGCTGTTTTTCTGGCAGGCAGCATCCTTCACGTGAAGCGGTTTGGGAGTCCTGCAGAGAGGGGAACTTGGGGACGGCACGGGACTTCCTAACGTTGCTCCTTGGCCCTTTGCTGCTGTAAGGAGATTATGATGCTGTAATTTTTACTACCATAGTCTGGTGGGTTTTCGTTCTGTGGTTCAGTCGATTTCGTCTCGATGCCCTGCATTATTCGCCTTTGGTTTGTTAAACCGCCTGAATTTACCTGAAGAAAATTACCCCAGCCCCCCCCCCCCAAGCTTTCCAGTCATTCCACCCATTCCCACATCCCACCCCCCCCACCCCCGGGAGGTCTCAATTTGACAAGAGATACAGAGAGAGAGCTGCGGTGGCTCAAGTGGTTAAGACGCTGAACTACAGGCTATGGAAGGTCGGTAGTTCAGCAGTTCGAGACCCAGGTTGCCGCATGACGGAGTGAGCTCCCGTCTCTAGTTCCAGCTCCTGCCACCCTAGCAGTTCGAAAGCAAGACATTGCAAGTAGATAAATAGGTACCACATCGGTGGGAAGGTAACAGCATTCTGTGCGCCTTGGTGTTTAGTCATGCCGGCCACATAACCACGGAAACGTCTTCGGACAGCGCTGGCTCTTCGGCTTGGAAATGGAGATGAGCACCGCGACCCTAGTCAGACTCGACTGGCTTTCGAGCAAGGGAACCTTTACCTTTACAGAGATCGAGCAGCTGATGCAGTCTGACCAGCCAAATTGTGGGGAGGAGGGCTCCAAATGTAGCAGGCCTTACAAGGTGAAGATGGAGGAGGAGGGCTTTAGCAGGCCCCCCACAGGTACATTCACTCAAGGGCACTTCTGGCAAGGGACCTTGGAGTAACAGGCAGAGTTGTGAGGTAGGGGGGTCTATAAACTAGCTGGGGGGACCACAAGAAGGTTGTCGCCTGGTCATTACCTCAACCCATTGACGATGTCCTTTGTTTTTCCAAAATAGATCTCGTTCAGCGTACTTCTGATTTTGTTCTCCATATCCTAAACAGAAAAAAGAGAGAGAGAGAGAGGCGCAGAGGTCAGTTCGAAGCCTTGGTTCCTGCCTCTTTGGTTAGCCACACCTTGTTCCAGAGGACTGCACGGCAGGGCTAATTTGAGGCCTCGGGGCCAGCAGGGGCTGCCTGTGGTATCCCACCCCATCCCTGAGGATGAATGAGGGCCCCGCAAGACTATGGCGCTAGTGGGCAGAGAGATTCAGCTAAGCGAGGGCCAAGGAGGAGGCCTGAGCCGGATGGCGGACTGGGCACATCAGTAGCTGCCAACGGCCCAGAGGGCCACACACAAATCGGCGGGCTGAGCATTGCACCTTCTGTGCAGGGAGCCCTCAGGCAGCACAGAGTAAGCCTAGAAGAGCTGGCCCAGGGAGCTTACAATGTCATCATAAATGAGAGGGGAGGGGGAGCAAAAGCATAAGAATATGCGGGGGGGGGGGGGAGAGACATTTCTTTGCTGGCAAGTCCCAAGCGCTGAGTTGACAGGTGGAAGCTTCTCATCTCGACCACAAGAGGGCAGCATGCGTCCATAACACACAGCCCCATTTGGCGAAAGCCAAGAAGCATTCCCCTAAGACCACCTTGCCAGGGCGCTTCCCTTCCTGAGTAGAATTTCCCGCTTCCCACCAAGGTGCTTTAAGCAGGGGCCGATTAACCATTAAGCAGCCTAAGCACGTGCTTAGGGCACCGGAGCCAAAGGGGGCACCACAAAGTTGGGGAAAGGGTGAAAAAGCTCAGTTCGCACAGTCTATTGTGTTATCCTATGAATAAATTTCTGTATGGCTGCAACCTGCATTGTCTATCTGGTCAGACAGGCCAACCACTAAAATGGACTGGGGGTCGGTGTGGAAAGGAGGAGGGGGGCACCAAGATGGGTCACAGTGCTGAGGGCACCCGTGAGCCTTCATCCGCCCCTGGCTTTAAGCTTCAAAGTGCACACAGACTCCTGAGCTTGCAACGTGTGGTTTTTTGTGGGGGGGGGGGTTGGAGGGGGGGATCCTGCCCTCTTGAGTCACAGCACTGGCAGGCCCACTCCGTTCAGTGACTTTTTTGCAAAAGGGTTCGCAGCACCACAGCTGGTGTCCGTGGCCACTGTAGACTGCCCCTCGCCCCAGAGCACCCAGCACAGGACGCCGAGGCTTTGGATCAGTCCCACAGGAGACCCTGACGCTGCTCAGAAGCTCTCCTGCCGCCCTGGGCTGATCCACACCTCACCCTTCTCTTCCAGGGATCACGCCAGAGTGCCACCTACAGGCACCCTCCTGCCAGTGTGCACATCCCTTTGAAAAGGGATTAACAGATCTTTCTAGGACAAAATTTAGAGTCCAGTCAGGCACCTGTAAGACCAACAAAGGTGTATTTCAAGGTATGAGCTTTTGTGCACATGCATGCGCACAATGTATCTGAAAAAGTGTGCAGGCACACAGCAGCTCATACCTTGAATACACCTTTGTGGGTCTTACAGGTGTCTGACCGGACTCTAAATCTGCCCTACTGCTTCAGACCAACACAGCTGACTACCTAAACCTTTCTAGGGGCAGCCACCAAAGGAGTCGGCAGCTGCACCACACCCAGGCGGATGTTTCCTTTGTCTTGCTGCCGGAGAGGCAGGTGGTTCGGGGAGCCTCACCCACTGCCGTCTCAACAACGTCTGGGGCGAGAGAGCCAGTGTAAGGCATAGTGGAGCCCAGCAGAGAGTGTCGGCCTTCATTCAGAGAGACCTGGGTTCGAGTCCCTGCTCAGCCACCGAACCAAGCAGTCTTGGGCCAGTCATTCTCTAACATATCGTGCAGAGAAGTTGAGGGGTGGGATGCATCCTGCCCATCCACTCTTATGTCAAAAACGTATTTCAAAAAATAAAGCAGATACAACCCTTATGGAAACTAAGGAACGGAAGTTGCCGTCGGCGAGAGAGGTGGGGGCAATGCAGGCATCCAACGAAGAGAGAGACAGGCAGCTGGTTCCATGCCAGTAGGTACAGCCATTCCCCCCATCGCTCTTCACCGGGGAACGACTAGTTACCGACCAGCAACGTAGGAGGACAGAAACCAGGGAACCAAGGAGGTCACACGCCATAGGAGGGCTTTAAAAGGGATTCTGACAAGGTCTCCCTGTGGAAAGCCAGCCTGTGGTGCGTGCCTGCCTTTGATGCCCCCCTGACCTGAGTGGAGGTCCCTCAACGGCCACATCACAGGGCCACTGAGTCCCCGTTGGGGTGGGGGAATCGATGGGGAAAGGCTCCAGCCTCCATGCGGTTCCTGGGTGCCTTCCAGGCCTGAGTGGGGAAGAGGAGGCTGGACTGGCCACCAGATCCAGAAGATTCCTTCAGATGTTCTCAAGCTGCCCCAGAGCCCTTCGGGTCCTCGCACCAGCCCCGGAGTCGAAGGCCCACTCACCTCTACCAAACGGCCGATGTTGGCTATGTGGGGCGAGGAGTCGCTCACGGTCTCGTCTTTCTCCATCTGGGGGGGAAGGGAAGAGAAGGGGGGCGGCCCCCGTTAACAGAGAAGCACCCGGACCCCACAGACAGGGGCGGCTTCCACAAAACCGAACGGAGGAGCGGCGCAGGTGTTGTGGCCAGAAACTGGACACTGACGCCGGCCCACCTTCCCCACAGCCAGGCTGCCCGCGAGGCCAGGAGGCCAGGAAAGAAGGGCAAGGACCGGGTGTCAAACCTTGCTATGTTATGCTTCGGCTGCCATAATGGTTGGGGGGGGGGGAGTGTGTGCGGGAGTGTGTGGGCGAGTGTGTGAGACCTTTGCTTTCAGAATATGTCACTTTTCCACCAGATGTGCCCTTCTCCTCCCCTTTCTGCGCTCCCAGGAGAAGTGACCTCGAGCACATTCTTGTACCACCTCGGACTCTAGATTACCAGGACAGATGTCTCCCCTGGTTGCCATGGCAAATAGGCAAAGTGTGGACATGACGTCTGCCTGGGGGTTGGATGGGACCTGTTTGATTTTCTATAATATGATTGTGCCCGCCAAAAGACTTCAGTTCTGACATGGTGACTCTTGGATCTTGCATAGGCTCTAACAAACTTATCACTGCGAAAGAGAGAGTTATTGAGCGTAACAGGACTGGGGTCTGACACAGGGTTACACAGAGCCCCGCCCAAGGGCACCTGCATTCCATTGCTGAGCAGTCGGGTCAGAACAGATAAAAGGACGTCCTTCTTCACCCAAGGAGCGATTAACACATGGCATTCACTGCCACAGGAGGTAGCGGCGGCTACAAGCATGGACGGCTTCAACAGGGAATAAGCATATGGAGCAGAGGTCCATCAGTGGCTATTAGCCACAAGAGATAGACAGGGACTCTCAGGCTGGGGCAGGTGATGCTCTGTCTTCTTGGTGCTGGGGTTAGGGTTAGGAGGGCTTCTAGTGTCCTGGCCCCACTGCTGGACCTCCTGAGGGCCCCTGGTATTTCTGGCCACTGTGTGACACAAAGTGTTGGACTAGATGGGCCACTGGCCTGATCCAACACTGGCTTCTCTTATGTTCTTATGCAACTGGCGGGGAGGGGGGATCTTCCAAGCAGGAAGAGTCCTCCCTCAACATCACTCTTTAGGGGGGAAACGAACCCTGGTTAAGGCAAGGGAGGCTGCCCGGGGGCTTCTCAAGGGTATTTTTTATGCCGTTTAGATCCAGTTATGGATCTCCCCCAACCCAACAGACACAAAAGGGGAGGGGCACTCGCAGGTCTCCCCCACACAGCCCCCTAAGGCAAGCCAAGTGTGCCCCACAAGCCTAATGAGGCAAATGATTCAGGAAAAAGCCTCCCAGCCACCACGTGTGTGATGCATTGCGGCTTTAAGGGCCAGACGTTACAGCGTGGCCTGTGTGGGGGCCAGAAGCCAGCTCCAGTTAGCCATCCCCGTGGCCACCTGACAGGTAAGAGGAGGAAGCTAAGCCATTCATCGGTTTCTCTGCTTTCCTACCAGAAGATAATGCTAAAGCGGGAAGTCGGGGGGGGGGAAGAAAGGGGGGCTCCAGCACTTGCTGTTTTACGCCCCCCCCCCCAATGCCTAGAAAGCTCCCTGGGACAAGCCTCGGGGTCTGGAAACAGACTCCCTCCTTGCATAAAGGGAAGGGGGGCTTGGAGGAGGACATGGCCAGGCAGGCCCCTGCCAGAATAACAGTGGCTTTATATGCTCTGCGCAGCCCGGATGTTTGAGGGGCCTTTTTGCTTCAAGGAGGCCGGGCGGGAGAGCACCGCCCGCGGCAGGGCAGACCAGCGGCAGTCTCGCCGCCTTTCCCCTCCAAAGTGGGCCGCTGCGGAAGGTTTTGAGTCTGCATCTCCTCTGGAGGTGGGGGGCAGGAGGTCAATAAAACAGCTGCCGCTGGGACTGAGATCTCCCCCCCCCCTCCAGCCACCAAAAAAGGTTGAGGGGGACTGGAGAAAGCCAGCCCAGAGCAGGAGCACAGGCAGGAATGCAACAGGCAGCCTCCTCTGAGGACAACTCGTTCCTGATGCTTCCCTGCACAGGGAGTGAGCAGGAGTGTGTTTATCCTATCACACCTTGATGCAGGGGGGGGGGCAAAGTTCAGTGCCTCCTTAAGCAGTGACAGACCGAGCACAGGGGGTAAAAACCATTCAGAGATGCAGCGGACAAACTCCCACTGCTCTGATGGATACTTCTGGGCTCAGAGGAGTGTTACACAGGAGGACAGAGCAGAGCAGCCAATGCACCCGACAGAGCCTTTACAGCTGGCTCCCCCCGCCGCCTCCTCTTATGTTAGAAGGGCCCCCCTAACCATACGGGCAATGCCAATTTCTTTCTTGGGTGGGGGGATGCTTGGTTGGGACCAATGCACCCTCTAAGCTGTGGAGTCTCGTGAGCTACTGGTGTTAAAGTTGTGAGCGAGCGATTTGGCTGCTGCATAAATTAAATTTGCTCCGGAGCCATCCTTCCTGAGCTAAGACAAAAATGGGTGAGCCAGAGGCTAAAAAACTGTGAGCTGGCTCACACTAACTCAGCTTAGAGGGAACACTGCTTGGGACTGGAGCAGAAAAACGGAAAAACAATCCCCCCCCCACACACACACACGGAAAGAGGAGTCCAACCAATGGCTATACCTTTAAAAATTTGTTGTGCATGGGCCCTTATATATGTTTTAAATTTGTACTTAATAAATACATGTAGCTTTTTCTAGACATCTTTTACATTTAGTTTTTTAATATTGGCCCTCTTTTTCACATTTTACTAACCTTTGTTAGGTTCTGAATTTTAGAGTTAAGATTCCGTTTTTGCCCTTACTGTTCCTGCTATACCTTTAAAAAGTGCATTTCAGAAATCAGAAATTCTCCCCGTTAAGAATGCTAGTGGACGCATTCTCTGGAGAGGGCAAACGGAATTTCCCATGCTGTTCCCACCCTGTCGATCACAGCTGTCCCGCTGCACTCAAGTCCATGCTAGCAATTTCCCCGAAACTAATACGAGGAACCCGGACACCCAGAGAGCACAGGGCCCACGACAGCCACGACTCTGGTAGAATGTCTCGTTAGTGGAACTATTCTTCTCTCCCCCCCCCCCAACTCCATGCATGCCTTTGCTCCCCGTTTCATCCCAAGACAACACGTGAGACGGACCTCGACATGAGAGCAACATCGAATGGAAATATACAGTTTGCCAAATTCGTAGATAGCCAGGCGAGGAGCTTTTTCCCTGTTGCAATAAATGACAAGACGTCTCTGCAAGTGTTTTTACTAACTGGTGATGGCTGGGCGGGGGGGGGGGGCGCACACAAGAGGCAAACCCCTGCTATCCAAAGGTCTTCAGGGTGTTGCTGCCCAGGGTACTGTGTTCAGAGAGAGAGAGAGGGAGAGGGAGAGGGAGAGGGAGAGGGAGAGGGAGAGGGGGGGGGCGAGACTGGAGCCGGGCCGTTCTCTGGGTGCAGAGGGTCAGTGGGCTCAGCAGCGGAGAGGCCTCCTCTTGCCACTGTAGCGTGGCATTTCTAAGAAGAAATGAGGCTGGCGTACCCTCTGAATTGTTAGGAGGCCTGGGACCTACGTGCGATCTGAGAGGAGCACGTCAGCCATAGCCCACCCACGCGCCCCCTACCTGTCTGGTGAGGCTGCCTCCAAGGTTCATCGTGCCGGAACCGGTTTTGTTCGTCTGCAGCCACAGCATGACTGTGGAGGTCAGCTTGTAATGGGCAGTGCGGCCACTGGATTTCTCCTGAAAGGGAGAGAAGAGGTAGCACAAGGAGATTAACGGGACACTTAAGAACAGAACAGAAGAGAAGCCAATGCTGGAGCAGGCCAGTGGCCCCTCCAGCCCAACACTCTGGGTCACACAGTGGCCAAGAATACCAGGTGCCATCAGGAGGTCCAGCAGTGGGGACAGGACACTAGAAACCCCCCCACTGTTGCCCCCGCACCCCAAGCACCAAGAAGGCAGAGCATCCCTTGCCCCAGTCATAAGAACAGAAGAGACGCCAATGTTGGGTCAGGCCAATGGCCCATCCAGTCCAACACTCTGGGTCACACAGTGGCCAAACACACCAGCTGCCATCAAGAGGTCCAGCAGTGGGGCCAGGAGAACACTAGAAGTCCTCCCACTGCTGACCCCCCCTCCAAGCACCAAGAATACAGAGCATCCCTTGTCCCAGACTAAGAGCTCCTACCTATACACCTTGTGACTAATAGGAGGGCTGCTAGCAAGGGGGAGGCGCAGGCTGGGCCACCGCCCCTTTCAAGCCAGCTGGAGCCTCTCTGAGTCTCCCGCCCCGCCCCAGCAACTCCTATCCGTCAGCTCGTGTGTGGCCCCCCCACCCCATCAGAGGCCAGTGCAGCCCCAAAGGAGAAGTCACTCCCCAGATTATGCCCTCACCCCAGGGGCTTCTGCAGCCCACTCGCCTTCACCCAAGGAGACGGGGGCAGCACGTAAGGGGCTCTCTTCCCCACCCCCGTTTTATGATCACAAGAGAGAAGACAGAGGGAGGGCCAGTGGGTCTGGAGCATCCCCACATAATTCCGGAGGATCACTGAAAATGCTCATTCGGAGGACGCCAAAGATTTATTTATTCATTCTATCAGATTTCTACGAAGCCCTTCCAGCCGAAGCCAGCTCAGGTCGGCTAGCATAATTTTTGTTGTTCAGTCGCACAGTCGAGTCCGACTCTTCGCGACCCCATGGACCAGCTCCCGCCAGGCCCTCCTGTCTTCCGCCGTCCTCTGAAGTTGGCTCAACTTCATGTTCGTTGCATCGATGACACTGTCTAACCATCTCATCCTTTGCCGTCCCCGTCTTCTTTGACCTTCAGTCTTTCCCAGCATCAGGGTCTTCTCCAGGGAGTGCTCCCTTCTCATTGGGTGGCCAAAGTATTTGAGCTTCAGTTTCATTATCTGGCCTTCCAGGGAACAGCCAGGGTTGATTTCTTTTAGGATTGATTGATTTGATCTTCTTGCAGTCCAAGGGACTCTCAAGATAGCATAATTACAATATATAAATTACAATAAAAACGATTAAAGATGGACTGAGAAACTTTTTTTTCCCTTGTCATTTCTGTATTTATGATGTTTGCATATATTTCTTAAGCAGGCGTCACACCTGGATGTCTTCGTGGCCTTGGGCCACCATTTGACGGTGGGGAAAGTAAGCCATTTAAGAGCCCTGCTGGGGGGGGGGGGGGAATCCGTGCCCCACCTGGGCTGGGCACAGCACCCACGAAGGACAAGCGTCCAGTGAACAGCCAGAGACCCCACCCCACCCCACCATGTATGCACAGCCTTGTTTTTACTGCCTAATTAGGCAGATGGATTTGCAGGACGAAATTTACAAAAAGCCGGCTCGGACACCAGCCAGAAGAGACCGTAATTTCCGGGCCTTTGGGGGAACTTTTTGGTTACTGCTCTGACTTATCTTTCTCCAACGTGCTCCCGAGAGCCTTCCGAAATTAACAGGAGGCAGTTGGGGGCGGAAAGGGGGAGGGGGAAGGGAGAGTTTACAGGCCAGACACAATATTGCATTGTTCGCCCCCCAGCACCTGTGCTCATTAGCTGCCCGGAATTCAACCTGGAATCGGTGGGGGATCCCCTCCCCGCTCAGGAACCATCGACTGCAGCCCCCCATCCCCCCCCCCCCGCCCAGGCTGTACCTGAACTTCCACCACGTGGATGGAGTCCCAGCACCCCTTAATCTTCTTTGATCCGTCGCCAGCTTTCTTAATTAGAATCACGCCTGCAAATCCGTGATCGAGATCCCAGAGGTAGACAGAGGAAACGCCTCCTTCGAAATACCTGCGGCCAAAAAGACAAAACTCCAGCTCGTTAGGGGACGAGCGGGATGGACAATCATCA